GCATCTTCCGCTTTTCAAATTCAACATCCGATGGACGAAAATTTTCGGCACAGCGTTATCAACGAACATCGGCGGAAGTGAAGAATTCGGTGAAGCACGGTACATCACGATATAAGTTTCGCCTCGCTTCGGAAAACAGCTCGAACGACGAGAAGGCGGAAGACCAATGCGGCGCGGCGCGCGCTGGTTTTTGTCCGCGAAACGCTAAAATTACACGGTCTCTCTACGTCAGAATCGGCCCCGTGAATTTTAAATGAGCTATTTTTCCCGAATTTTAGCATAGATACTAAATGCTACTACATAAGACAAATTAGTTCGGCAACTCGTTTCGGTTCCATGTCGTTTCCACTATTTTTAGTCATCTCGACGTCAATCGTTCGAACGTTTTACATAGTTTCCCGGCCGAAGGAAGCTTCGTTTCCGAGCATCGAACGCCGCTACCTTCCTCTTGTTTCATAGAAATCGTTTCTATCAAATTCCGCTCGGCTTAGACGACCGCCGCGTGTTTCTCGACATCGTACCGCCGAAAATATAATGTTCGGTTACAAGCGTTCGTCGCCTGTACGATCATTTTTTCTCCATTTTATCGTGCTCCGTTCGTTGGAAGCGTACGTCGAGGTCGTTTCATAGTTTTCGCTCGATAAAGACAAGCTTAGAAGCTCGGAAGAATCTTTGCCGGCGGCTTGCAAGGATCTTTGCGCCGTTTCCCGGCGCGTTTTCTAAATGGAACAGTCATTTTTCCCTAATTCGCACTCGGATGGCGCATGAAAATGGACAATTTCGGGGAGAGAAGACGCGATTGTTCGAGCCTTGAGCTCGTTTTTATCATCACCGATTGCCAATAACTACATAAACGAGCCGCGAGGCTCGAATAATCGTGTCTCCTCTTCGCGAATTGTTCATTTTTGTGCGCGGTCCAAGCGCGAATTAGAGAGAAATTACTGTACTCCCTAATTCGCGCTCGGATCGCGCACGAAAATGGACAATTTCGGGGAGAGAAGACGCGATCGTTCAAGCATTGCGCTCGTTTTTGTGGTCACCTATAAAAACGAGCTGCGAAGTTCGAACAATCGTGTCTCCTCTCCGCGAATTGTCCATTTTCGTGCGCGATCCGAGCACGAATTAGGGAGTACAGTAATTTCTCCCCGATTCGCGCTCGGATCGCGCACGAAAATGGACAATTCGCGGAGAGGAGACACGATCTGTCTCTTATACACATCTAGATGTGTATAAGAGACAGCCCTAATTCGTGCTCGGATCGCGCACGAAAATGGACAATTCGCGGAGAGGAGACACGATCGTTCGAGCCTCGCGCTCGTTTTTATAATCAGCGATTTGCAATAACTGTTAAAACGAGCCGCCTGGCTTGAATAATCGCGTCTTCTCTCCCCGAAATTGTCCATTTTTGTGCGCAATTCGAGCGCGAATTGGGGAAAAATTACTGTGGTTCGTAAATGTATCATCCGGTGGTTCATTTGAAAGTTGAATGAAATTACGTCTACTCGCTAAAGACACTTGGATCACAGTTACATTTAAATGAACGTAACGCTACGCTGCTCTCAGTTGAAGCAAACAGTTGAACCAATTATTGCGTGTTCTTCGCGCCGTCTACGGTGCCGGTAGCTTGCGAGCCGTGCGTACAACTTCGAGAGAACGGGACATGCTTTACTCGACCCCTTGCGGTACCATTTTATCTTCGCAGATAGCACGAACTGTTCGAACTTTTCCGATCGCAATAAATTAACCGTCAGGTAATAATTAAAAAAAGCGGATCGTTACGGGAAATAAGAAATTGTCTACCTAAACTGCAAGATGTGCGCGAAAAATGACCCACCTTCGGCCTCCGCGAGAGGCTTTCCGTCATTCGTACCGATGCGACGAAGAGACAGAAATCTAATCCCGACTTAAAAGAACGGAGCAACGCTCGTATTTTTGGCAGATTTTTACGAGTCGGGCTCGCCGAAGTACGGCAAGGAGTTCATTTCCTTTTCTTTCTTTTCTTTTTTGTCACAAAACGAAGAACGATCGAGCGAAACGCGATGAGACAAAGGATGAATAAATTGTAGAAATCAATCGAATGGAGAAATAACGAAACGAAGGACACGAACGAATTGAGAACCAATCGAACATGGAGAAATAACAAAACGAAGGTTATAAAACGATCGAATGGAGAACAGTCGAGCGAACGCTGAAGCAGCCGAGCACCACCGCTGAAAAACTTGCGTTGCTTTGTGAGGATTTGGCAAGAATTTGGCAAGAATTTGGCAAGAATTTCTTTAGAATTCTTTGGGATTCTGAATTCCTTTGGATCTCTCCTCATTTTTATTGTAAGCGTACGTCAAGGTTAATAAATTTATGCGATCGCTTTCTGTGTAAGAATTCGTTGCGATTTCAACGATTTCTTTATGAAAAATGTGGAATGGGTTCAATTTTGATTTTCGCGATAATTTCGGCGTTGAAAACGGTCGAACGGAGAACGATCGAACGGAGAACAATTGAATAAAAGACGATCGAACTAGAAACGATCGAACGAAAAACGACGAAACGAAGAACGATCGAATAAAAAACGATCGAACGACAAACGACGAAAACGAAGAATGATCGAACGGCGAACGACGAAATGAAGAACGATCGTACGGCGAACGACAAAACGGAGAACGATCGCACGAAGAACGATCGAATAAAAAACGATCGAACTATTGGATTGACAACTAAGTAATTGCCGATTTCAGTTATAGATGTCTCTCACTCCCATTTTTATGATATCCGTAAATGTTATATTATAAAATTATTATTATTATT